AGCACTTCCTCCAGCTAAGGGTACTGAGGTGCTTCCTTCACTCTCTCCATGGGGAAGGCTCTCTTTGCGTCGAGGGAGAGCCAGTCAGTGGCTTCCATGGGCCAGGACAACGGCCTAACACCGAGGAGGGTGACTTCAGTTAGCACGATCATAATAAACACCTGTATTTCAAAAGGGCGGAGGAATGGGCTGTTTAGAGTGCTTCTCAGGGCACTGACACCTGTATTTCAAAAGGGCGGAGGAATGGGCTGTTTGGAGCCTTGAATGGCAGAAAACATCGAGTGATTCCACCCATCAACATATAATTGATGTCAAAACATAGAGGACCAAGATTTCCTACCTGAGGTCATAAGAAATTAAATATTCTGCTAAAAAATGTTATCACATATATTAAAACAGGTTACTGATTTTCACAGTTAGAATACGGGAAAATATAATCAGTGCTGAAACTAGGCTGTGATTCAAGACATTTTGTGACTTTCAGTGGCTGAGGGTTAAAATGAGCAGCAGGTTTAGAAGATTAAGCTGAATTTGCTGTCATGAAACAAAACGCAGCAGTTGCTTTAAAAATAAATCCCGCATATTAACTTTTAACTTGCCATTTGTGGCTTTATCATAAAAGATGAAAGAAAAATACATAAAATTCCAGTTTTTTTAAGTTTGCTGGTTGTTTAAATCCCAGGTAAATGGTGTTTACCTTAATAATGGCCTTTAATATACAAAGGTAACCTTACCATCACCATTATCAGGCCTGCTTATCTGAGCGTGGGAGTGGGTTTGTGATAATCCAATGATTTCTTCCATTCTTTTAAAATGAGGCATATTTTATGTATTTGGTTAGGGTCCAATCAACATAGCCAACTAGCATTAGCCAGTTGTCTTTCAATGGATGTCAGGAAAGGACAAATTGCACTTCATTGAATGTTACCTGGAAAGACTGGTGCCCAGTTTTTGATCTTTGAAAATTAAAATCTCAATGCATGATTAGTTGATTGTCCCTCTGTAATCTTAACATAGAAGGTAGTTTTTGACTAAGATGATGGGTACTCACATACACTGCTTTTCAAGCTGACTTGTGAAGCCTCAGTTTGTTTTCTCATTTTCAATCTATGCAGACTAATAATTTTGCAAAATATAATAACAATGAAATGAAACAGTCATACAAAATACAAGGTCTAATTTATATTATAATATTATGTATATTCTATTCACCAGCTATAAAGTTACTCTGTCAAATTGCTCTAAATATTTATGTTTATGCTCAATTTCTGTACTGTCCAGTCCAGTGACAGTCTGCGGCCTGTGAGTAGGCAGCACTGCTCTAACGTAATGCCTCTGTCACAGGACTTCATTCCTGGCCATTCTGAGTGGAAAACACTACTTATATTAGAGAGTCGGGTCTCACGATTGAAGGAAACAAAACCAGGTAATTTCTTGAAGGCCCTTGCTTGCTGACTTCCGATCTGGGCCGCGTGGGTCCATGCCTGCTTGTGGCTTCCTTCCACCTACACAGGAAGCAGGGTCTCTGGGCTCATGCTGGGCTGCTGCACCTTTAGCTCTGTATTCTACCAGGGGCCTCCTGAGCTGCCAGGTTTTGATGGTTAGAGATGTCATCCTCCTCTCTTACGTTTGGCTTCAATGGAAGGGAGGAGGAGGAAACACTTAAATCGGGTGAAGCCCTAGGAAAGGTGTCCTAGCAGGTTCTTTGCCCTGCGAAGAAGACTTTCATTTTCCTGGATTTTAATCTCAAAACATCTTCAGTTACCCTTGGACTGTCGCCTTGGCCCATGACTCAGTTAAATACTGACTACACAACTCTTAACTACTTGGTGTTCCATTGCACACATCTCACCGTACGCATATTGATGGACGCCTGCTTAATGGTCCTTGCCACAGTGTCCATTGCACACATCTCACCGTACGCATATTGATGGACTCCTTAATGGTCCTTGCCACAGTATCTTGACGAATATTTCTCCTTAGCTCAGTATAAGATGTTTTGCACAAGCCATCAAACAGTCTTACTTCATTAGAGTTTGAATTTTATTTGCAGGGCAGTAATAGGTAAGTTAATGTTGCTAAGAAAGCCATATAAAAATTTCTGTTTTTCTTTTGTTCCATCTGTTCAATTTTATCTTGAGTAATTTAATGATTTTGGGTTCTACTTGGAGTTGTCATATTTAAAAAACTGCCATAAAGCAGTTTGGCTAATTTGCTCAATTAAAATATATTTCACAGTGGGAAGAAATAGCATGATTAATGGGTAACAATAACTTCTACTAGAAAAGAGATTTTATTTTTGTGTGAAGAAGTCTAAGCATAGCCCTAGCTGGTTTGGCTCAGTGGATTGAGCGTTGGCCTGCAGAGTGAAGGGTCCTGGGTTCGATTCTGGTCAGGGGCACATGCCTAGGTTGGGGGCTCGATCCCCAGTAGGGGGTGTGCCGGAGGCAGTTGGCCAATGATTCTCTCATCATTGATGTTTCTATCTCTTTCTCCATCTCCCTTCCTCTCTAAAATCAATAAAATATTTTTTTTTGGGAAAAAAAAGAAGTCTAAGAATATTATGGATTTATTTAATCTAATTGCATATCTAAATGTCTCAGGTTGTCTAAGCAAAGTAATCCTGTATAGGTTTTAGCTAACCTCTCTGTACAGATCCCCAGGTAAATTCCACCACAGGGCTACACACTAGATGACAAAGTCAAGGACATGTTAGATATAAAGAACTTCCAAAACTGGGCAGGTGCTAACATAAATCATCATTCACAGACCAGAATAAAATAAACAGCACCTTTGCTTTAACCAGCCTCCTAATGAGAACATTTCCCCAAACACAGCCTTCTGCCTTCTGTTCCCCTCAGACCCACTTCTATGGTTTCACCATTCATATCCCAAGGTCAGTCCCACAGTTCAAATATTTCTATTTTGCATTTCTCTCTCTGCCTCAAATTGACCTAAAATAAAACCAATCTGCAAACCTTTGAGTTGGATGAGATCCTAGGGGACATCCAATTTTGACTTTAATGGCTAAATGAATAGCTTTTATAAAACTTGTAAGAGGGGGCTCTCTAATATCTCTCCTTTAACAGCTCCAGCTCTAGGGAACTCCCCTCTCCCCATGGCTATTCTCAGTACCTTGTTCCAACCCCAAGTCTCTCTCCAGGTTTTCCCAGCCTGATATCTTTCCAGTTTCCAAGCCCCTTCAGTTAGCACCATCTTATTTCTCCCCAAACCCTTCATTTCTAATCAGGTAGAGGATGGATCAAGCCTAACATTTTTAATTGGCTCCCTCTCTAAGCCCTGTAATTCCTAGCACATAATATTGGTCGTCAATAATTAATTGCTGACTAATTGATATTTTAAATCTATCAAGAGCTCAACCTTAGCAAATGAGGGTTTCTTGTGCTTCCTGAGATGTTTTTGACCAAATAGCCAGATGAGAATTATGTCATGTTAATCATCAATTAGAAATAAAGCTACAGTTCATTAGTAGATGAAGTGATAATTGTATAGCTTATGCATCATTTAAAGACTCCCTTGGAGAAGAAAGTGCTGTATGCAATTTTAAGTGATATTTCAGAGACATTTTGGTAAAATCTACCCAGTTCACAGCAGAGAGCTCATTCTTTTAAATTTCTCATATTTTTCTTATCCTCCACTATGCACACCCAGTCTAGCTTTCCTGTTATACCAGTAATGATAGCATCTTAAAATTTCATTAAAGATGCAAAAGTTGAACCTTTGGCAGTCAATTCTGTTTGATTTACTTTTGAGATCACTTCAGTGGATGATGGAAATAGGAATACGTATTTTAGTTTTCTTTAAATACCCGAAGACAGAACTACACCTAAAGATCAGTGATGTACAGTTCAGTAAGGCCCAGATTCCTTTCTGACCCAAGATATAGCATTAGAGGGGAAAAACTCAGAGATGAGTAAATCACCGTTATTAAACCAAGTTTCTAAAAGCTGTGTTGCTGCAGTAAAACCTGCTAAAAACAGCTGGATGGTGTGGCTCGGTGGTTAAGTATCCACCTACGAACCAGGAGGTCATGGCTCCATTCCTGATCAGGGCATAGTAGGGGGTGTGCAGGAGGCAGCCATCAATAATTCTCATCATTGATCTTTCTATCCCTTTCTCCCTCTCCCTTCCTCTATGAAATCAATAAAAAAAAAATCTTATTAAAAAAATATTTAAGGAAAAAACCCTGCTAACAACAGGAGGACTCATGCTGTTGTTTAGAACCTGAACTAGATAAACCCGTCAGAGTAGACTAATTCTCCTCGCCTCACACTCTAGTTAGAAACTCTTTCATTTCAGGGAATGCAGTGTTATTTGAGGACTGCTACTTCCCAGAGGATCCAGTGAGGTAGAAATTAACATAAAAAACAAGGAAGATTACTCTCTCCTGTTTAAAAATTTATAACCAATGAACTTCTAAAAGAATTAAACAGGCATTCGAACAAGTACATGTCCATGCGTGTTAATAGCAGCAGTGCTCACAAGAGCCAAAAGGTGGAAACAGCCCCAGGGTCCACCGACAGATAAATGGATACACAGATTGTGGCATAGCCAATGGAGTACTATTCAGCCACAGAAGGAACGGAGTACTGATCCTTGCTATAAGGTGGATGAACCTTAAACACATTATGCTAAGTGAAATATGCCAGACACAAAATGTCACATTTCACATGATTCCATTTATAGGAAATCGTCAGAAATAGATAAACCCATAGAGACAGGATGTAGATTGGTGGTTGCCAGGGGCCTCGGGGAGGAGGGAATGGGGAGTGACTGCTTAATGTAAGGAGCTTTCTTTTGGAATGATGGCAATGTTCTGGAACTAGATAGATATGGTGGTTGAACGACACGGCGATTATACTGAATGCCACTGAATTGTTCATTTTAAAATAGTTAAAAAAAAAAATAAAACCAGTGAACTCAAACCCTAAAACCATATTCTTGCCTTTAGAACACTCTCCACTGGGCTTGGCACTTACCTTGCACACCATGGCCGTCTTTGCTCCAAGCCTAGCAGCTTGGACACACTGATTGGCACCTTTCCCTCCAAAGCCAATAAAAAACTTATGTCCATGGATGGTTTCTCCGGTTTTTGGCAAACGAGGAGTAAGACTGTCATAATTTAAAAGGAGAAGGAAAAAACACACACACATTGGTAACTGCAGTCAGTTTTAAGTTCTTCAGAAGAGAGAGGGAAGGCTGTGTGGTGGAGCTCTAAGCAGTCAGAACCGCAGGCAGAAGCAGGGGAGGGAGAGGACCTTTCCTTTTAGACAACCTTCAGTAGTTTGCATCACTTTTGAGAATGCATCTGCCGGACAGGATTCCTCTCCCCCACTGCCCTGTGCTACCGTAGCCCCACTTCAGATGACAGCTCCTGGGGTCTGTACTGCATCAGGGCCGTTCAGGGGAGCCTGCTTTACATCTCGGGGAACTCTCAGAGGGAAGGAACTTCATATTCCTTCTCAATGCCCAGCACAGAGATTTACTCACAGTGGGACAAGGTAATGTGTGCTTCTGTCCAGATTGATCTGGTTGCTTTAATAAGCAGGAAGGGACCTAGGATTTTGGTAATCATGTTCAGGACTTCAGGAGAAGAGTGAAGCTGCAATTCCAGGCGCTAAAGAATCTTATTTTCTTTGAGGGTGGGATAGGAGTGGGGTATTTGGATGGCAGTTCAGGGTTTCATCCTAATCCATCCTTTATATTACCCATTTCATGCACTGACTAAAAAAGAGCATCTATTTTAAAAAAGTGGATTAGAGCTAAGTTTAGTTTTACATTTTACTACAGAAAAATCCAAACAGATAAAACTAGAGAAAATAGTATATTGATTTTTCCCTATACTCATCACCCAGATTTAACTATGTCAACTGTTAGCCAATGTTGTTTCAGTCTACACCTTCATCAACTTCAGGGGATTTTTACTAACAGGTTATTACTGACACATTACTGCTTAAGGTAGTATTAAATGAGGCAAAAAGTACAAGGAAAAGGTTTGCTCCAGTATATGGTTGTCCTAACAGTACAGGTGGAAGATGTGAGGAAACAAAGTCTTTGAAGGACAGAAGACTTTAAAATGGAAAAGGAGTTCTGGGTGGAGGGGCAAGTGAAGAAGATGGGCTCAGTGGCATGAGGACTGGTTGATTGGCCACAAAGAAGTGGGCCAAGGGCCAGATGGAGCAGATGGAGAGGTCTGACCAAAAAGGTTAATTAGCTTTAGGCAGGAAAGAAAGGCCAAGAGAGAAGTTTACCATGGTAAGTCAACCGAGAACCTACTTTGTTTTAGCAGGTTAGACATTTATGTTCATTTCCAATAGAGACTGTGGTCTATCCAAAACCAGTATCTTTTCGTATCAAGGTCACGAAACAATGCCAGTTCCTACAGGTCACTGACAGCCTGTTTGCAATGGGATGCCATATGACTATTGGCAGGAACGCATGATTGTGTCAATAAAGACCAAGTTCGACCTGTGAACCTCCTTTATGTAGCTCTAAAAGTCTCAAACTGAGCTAAGCTACTCCATTCCCTAGCATTGCACTGTCAAATATGGTTATTTGAGATTCAAGAGATTCATCAATAATTTGAAAACATCCCACTCCACTCCTCCCCTTTTCAATTCTATTTTTATCTCGGATTCTAAACGCATTTATAGTACCGATGAAAAAAATATACATCTACAAGGTTCACTTCTGAAAAAGGCACTCAATCAAGGGAAAAATGGTTTTAATGTAACGTTATTATCCTGTCATTTAATTTAGCAATGACAAGTGATGATGAGATTTTGATTTGCATCAGAAATCTTAAACATTTTAGGATTCTGTTATGAACAGGCAATGATGAGTAATCTGTGTGATTGAGTAACTATGTGAATTCTTGGCTTATTGATGCTGCTATAAACAACATTCCTAACAACTTTAAAAAGAAAAACTATCCAATGTGGCAAAAAACAGGCCACATAATTTAATTAGTAAGACTGTCACTAAAGAAACGTATGACTTCTACTATATTTATACTTAGATCTGGGTCACAAGCCACTGGTTTGAATCAAGTGTACTTATGATCAACTGTGGGAAACCATGAAAAAATGTATCACCATATTATTATTGGGATATGCATGTATGTGGGGGGGAAGTGAAATCAGGTACAGTATATATGTGTTTGATGTGGAAGCAGATGGCTGGGATTTAAACAATGTATATTAACACAAGCACTGAACTGGTGTAGCCACTACTGGCATTCCTCACTCCTTGGGAATTCTTTTTTCTTTATCTTCTGCATCTTTGCTGTACTCTTCTTTTTCTTCTCCCAATTGTAGACTTTCTCTGCCTGAGGACAGTCTGTTCCCCATTTTATTTCTAGTGCCTGTCACTTATATGGGGTTAATATATTTGCTGATTGAACATATCTTTGTGGCTCCCCTTATCTCTCAAGGGTAGCAGAATATGCCACCCCAAAATATGACTGTAGGAGTTCAGGACACACCACCCCAAAACATGCCGCTTTGGTATATAATTCTGAGCTGTAGGCACTTGAGAAACAGCAGATGCAGGGAGAGGCTTTCCCTGAACTTCCCTTCTCTGCCTATCACAGTCGTACCTCCCATTTCTTCCAAGGGCCCATTCACCTTTCTTAAAAGTTCTACCTCCCCCTCCCCTACCCTATTAAATGCTACTTAATCCTGAATTTGAAGTCACCTTGGGGAGTTACTCATTTTTTCCTGGGTTTCCCCCATGTATAATGAGGGACACATGTTAATAAACTTCTGTTTTTCTCTTGTTGGTCTATTACAGGGGTCTCGGTCAAAGAACTCAGAAGGGTGGAGGGAAAATTATCTTTCCTCTCCCACATCTCTTCTCTGTGTCTCCTTTGTGTAGTCTCCAGTCTTTCTTCTGAATTGAGGCTGTGGAGGTGCTGACGAATGGGAAGGAGGAGGAGATTGGCAGGGATGACCAGTTGTCTGGCAATGGCAATTCCATGTTTTACCAGACCATGCCCACTGCATGCCCAGTATCAGCAGCGTTCCTCTTCTACAAGCAAGAACTCTAACTGGAACTCATACTATCATTCCTTCACTAATGCATTAACTCCAAAATGCAAAGTCAGTGTTTTCCAGTGTACTTCCTATAGGGCATAATCAACTTGCCGACGAGGAGGAAAAAGCTAACCACGATGCAAGTAACACAGGAGTTGAAAAAACAGGTCACAGAACAAGATTAGTATGATCCAATTCATATTTTTAAAAGGAAAAAAGATACACGTATATGGTCTCAGATGATATGTAAATGCAGACAATGAAATGTTAATGACACGTATCCATGAGAAGGGTGGGGGTGGGGAGCAAGAAGAGCTCATGTTTCCTTTACATCCTCATGCCCGGAAGTGGAAGCAACGATAATAGAGTTGTGTGTTATGGGAGACCACTTCTTACTACCTCAGTCATCCGTCCTTCCTGCATCTGCTTCCAGCCACTGGTTCTTCCTGGGCTCCAGCTGGCTTCTTGCAGGTGCAGCCTAACAGTGCCACTCTGTCCACTGCTGGGTTTCTGGTTCCTCAGGCCGTCCTGCAGGATTGAGCAACTAGTTGTGCACAGGGGTGGCCAACGTGAACATGTCAGGCATTTTTGTAAGGCTCTTCCCACTCCTCTGCTTCACTTTCCCTGTCCATCCCTGGCTCTTGCTCCCTGGGTCCGAGTCCTGAATAGAGTATTTGCGCTTAAGCGTTTGTCTGATGCTCTGCTTTCTGTTGAACCCACACTAACACCGTTTATTCCTTGTTTATTTATTTTTTTATAGAAGTAAATAGAGTGGAGTGGAGAGCAACTAAAAAGTTAGTTATGAAAAAGGCAGAAGCATTTCCGAATTATAAATCCTAATTTACTTTAAATCAGGCTTTCCTATCTTTTTTCTTTAATGAAATCATGGAATTAAGTTCAGGTTCAAGGAAGGAACTGCACAAAGCCTCATCCCCTGGATGAAAGCATTACTGTGATTCACCTCAATTCAAACATGAGGTTTAGCAAGGTGCCAAAGACAGACAAGCGACAGTGCGCAAAGAAGAAATAAAAAGGAAGCAGTACTGGGAGAAATACACTGCTGCTAGCATTTAATAATTTAACATAGTATAAATTTCTGAATGAGGGAGAAAACCCAAACAGAGAAAACCAGTCATAAGAATTATGTTTGAATTTTAAGACCTATTCGTAGCTTTAAAAAGGTCACGGCATTTAAAGTTGGGCAGAAGGAAACGCCGGTAATTGTTCATGGATGGCCCTCCGGTTTCCTGGGCCACCAGAGGCCGCGGGGTCAGCCTGGTTGTGCAAGGCAGGAGGCCCGAGCCTCTTACTGACTGTATTACCTTTGACAGCTTTTCCCTCTTTGAACCAGCTTCTTCTCTTGCAAAACAGGTTTAATAATACTTGTCAACTCCTTCAATTGCCCGGGTTTTGTGCTCTGAGTTATTTCACTGACAGGTGTTAGCAGAACAACTTATCATTGCTTTTAACTTCTTGACAATGATGTGCTTGTTACAGATTCTCCGAGATGATTCATAGCAGAGAAAGGAATGACCTGGTGAAATAGAGATGAGAAGGGTTTCGACCGAAAAGGTCACACTAATAACTGGCTCGGCCCAGAGTCCAGGACTATGCTGCCTTTTGGCTTTTGCATTCCATCCTTTCTTCTTCTGGCTACAAGCTTCTGACACACCGTACAGCTAGCATAAGGATCGTACTATTAGTTATGACCCAATTAAAATTCATTGCGCTCACTTATTATTCCTCCTGCCTGTGCTCTCCAGCCCTATCTGCTCTTCTCGGCCTTTGTGTATGCCACATTTACAAGGAGGAAAGTACTTTCCAAACCAAGTTAGTATCTCTTTCCACCTCTGTAAAAAGAACTTAGCCGCCCAACTGAAACTTCATTCCGTGCTTCCTAACCCTAAATTTGCAGACATATATATGATTTATTCAAGGAAGTAAAACATGAATTATGCTTAAAACAGTTGTTAACTGAAGTTTGATTTCTAGCCGATCTTTTCCTAGCTAACAAGTCTATGGCTAAAAAGTCATTTGTCTGAAGATGTAGCTACTCTTGAATTTATAGAAGAGAAAAAC